ACAATGTATTCTGGAATTCCACAAACCTTTCCCTGTGCATCCACTCCCAGGAGCGCATCTTCCAGGATCTGTAGCGCCGTTTGCTGAGTCGAGTGGACAAACGTGCCCCTGTAGACGAAGGCTATTGCAGTGTCGGCTCGGTCGGAGTTCGCCATTTCTTCTCCATGTAAGTCGCGGTGCAGCAGTGAGATACAGCGGGATCGAGTCGGGTATTTGTCCTCTGCCAGTGCCAAACACCACCTGACGGCAGAGGTCTTGAGCAGCCAATGAGAGGACAGGGTGTGCATGTCGGGATCGTCCCGTCTATATGTTATAACACTTGTAACGTGTGATCTGATAAGCTTAAGGATGAATTTCATGTTTTGCCTTTGTTATCCTGGCTTAGTATGAGGTGCGTAATGCAAAGTATCAAAGTTATCCACGAGTCAATGCTTTCTGCTGAATAGTAAACTTTGTAGTGGTCAAGGTTTCTAAAAAGAAACATGACCACTCAGAAATCAGCGCAAAAGACAGAAAAAGCTGGCACTTTCCGTCGTTTCTTTTGCGCAAATTTAGATGTAAGCATATATACAGGGAGTGCAGAATTATTAGGCAAATGAGTATTTTGTCCACATCATCATCTTCATGCATGTTGTCTTACTCCAAGCTGTATAGGCTCGAAAGCCTACCACCAATTAAGCATATTAGGTGATGTGCATCTCTGTAATGAGAAGGGGTGTGGTCTAATGACATCAACACCCTATATCAGGTGTGCATAATTATTAGGCAACGTCCTTTCCTTTGGCAAAATGGGTCAAAAGAAGGACTTGACAGGCTCAGAAAAGTCAAAAATAGTGAGATATCTTGCAGAGGGATGCAGCAGTCTCAAAATTGCAAAGCTTCTGAAGCGTGATCATCGAACAATCAAGCGTTTCATTCAAAATAGTCAACAGGGTCGCAAGAAGCGTGTGGAAAAACCAAGGCGCAAAATAACTGCCCATGAACTGAGAAAAGTCAAGCGTGCAGCTGCCAAGATGCCACTTGCCACCAGTTTGGCCATATTTCAGAGCTGCAACATCACTGGAGTGCCCAAAAGCACAAGGTGTGCAATACTCAGAGACATGGCCAAGGTAAGAAAGGCTGAAAGACGACCACCACTGAACAAGACACACAAGCTGAAACGTCAAGACTGGGCCAAGAAATATCTCAAGACTGGTTTTTCTAAGGTTTTATGGACTGATGAAATGAGAGTGAGTCTTGATGGGCCAGATGGATGGGCCCGTGGCTGGATTGGTAAAGGGCAGAGAGCTCCAGTCCGACTCAGACGCCAGCAAGGTGGAGGTGGAGTACTGGTTTGGGCTGGTATCATCAAAGATGAGCTTGTGGGGCCTTTTCGGGTTGAGGATGGAGTCAAGCTCAACTCCCAGTCCTACTGCCAGTTTCTGGAAGACACCTTCTTCAAGCAGTGGTACAGGAAGAAGTCTGCATCCTTCAAGAAAAACATGATTTTCATGCAGGACAATGCTCCATCACACGCGTCCAAGTACTCCACAGCGTGGCTGGCAAGAAAGGGTATAAAAGAAGAAAAACTAATGACATGGCCACCTTGTTCACCTGATCTGAACCCCATTGAGAACCTGTGGTCCATCATCAAATGTGAGATTTACAAGGAGGGAAAACAGTACACCTCTCTGAACAGTGTCTGGGAGGCTGTGGTTGCTGCTGCACGCAATGTTGATGGTGAACAGATCAAAACACTGACAGAATCCATGGATGGCAGGCTTTTGAGTGTCCTTGCAAAGAAAGGTGGCTATATTGGTCGCTGATTTGTTTTTGTTTTGTTTTTGAATGTCAGAAATGTATATTTGTGAATGTGGAGATGTTATATTGGTTTCACTGGTAAAAATAAATAATTGAAATGGGTATATATTTGTTTTTTGTTAAGTTGCCTAATAATTATGCACAGTAATAGTCACCTGCACACACAGATATCCCCCTAAAATAGCTAAAACTAAAAACAAACTAAAAACTACTTCCAAAAACATTCAGCTTTGATATTAATGAGTTTTTTGGGTTCATTGAGAACATGGTTGTTGTTCAATAATAAAATTATTCCTCAAAAATACAACTTGCCTAATAATTCTGCACTCCCTGTAGCAATCAGAGGTGAAAGTCTTTAAAATTAGTCTTTCATTTGAAAAAATACAGCCTATAATTTCCGACAAATACAAAAGTTGTATTAGATACATTTGATGACCCCAGAAACAGAACTATCAATGGTAAATGGATTGATTCTTATATAGCGCTTTTCTACTCTCCTGGAGTACTCAAAGCGCTCTATACTGTACAACATGTCGCATTCACCCAATCACTTTCTTCTAAGCTTTTAGTGCTTCCCAACAATCAGCAACTTGGAGTTAGTATCTTGCCCAAGGATACTTGGCATGGAGACAGGAGGAGCCAAGGATCGAACCACTAACCTTCATCAGTAGAATGACCTGGTCTACCTGAGCTGCAACCACCCCAATCAACCCACAGCTCTGGTCAGATGTTTACAGGCATTCATCATTACTGTTCCCTTTCCAGGGTGGAATGATCTACAACATACTTTTTTTTTTTTTTTTTTACCAAGAACTCCTGGCACAAACTTGAATTTATTATAGATTTTCAAAAGTACACATACAGGCTCAATTATGCATACATCCCCACAAATATTTGGTCAAACGTCATTTAGTAAGTTGCATCTCACCTAGATGCTTTTTGGTAGCCATCAATAAATATCTGGCATAATTCTGCTTGAAGACTTGATCACTCCTCTTGACAGAGTACATTTAAATTGGTTGGTTTCCTGGCACAGACTCAGCTTTTAGGCATAGTCCATACGTTTTCAATAGAGTTGAGTTCGAGACTTTGGGAAGGCCATTCCAGAAGTTTAATGTTAGCCTGCTTTATCCATTTTCAAAACCAAGCTTGACGTGTGCTTGGGGTCACTGTCCTCCTTCTTCATTATTCAATTCACTTTGTGCAACATATGGTACAGCCGATACCAAAACGGCCCAGGAGCATGAGACTACTACCACCATGCTTGACAGCTGGTACAGTATTTTTACGTTTGAAAGCCTCACCTTTACACCTCCAAACATTTCTTTTGTCATTGTGGCCAGACAGTTAAATCTTTGTCTCATCTGGCCAACATACCATGACTTTCATGCCTATGATGGGTGGATGCAAGCTTCTGACCACATCCGTAATGCAGAGGATTAAAAAGTGGATCTATGTGTTCTTTATTGTGCACGAAAGTATCTGAACTATCCCTTCTTTTATATATAAACATACACAAAATGTGGTTTAAATAATATAGGATATGACCCGTTACTCTTTTCCACTGTAGTTTGCCCATGTTTGACAAAGGCTGTAGAGGCTTTGCTCCCATTAAACATTTACTACTGTTTTCTCAATACCAAGGTAATAAGCAACTGGTTATTGAAAATTATAAAGCATTAATAAGGTAAATAAAAAGTAAAAGTAGATAATATATTAGTAATAATATCAAAAATATTTTGCTAAACTATAGATTTCTATTTATAATTTGCAAGACAATTATAATAACATGTGTCAGGGATCCTGGGTCTGAGCGACCCAGGATCCCTGAACAGTTATGAATTATATTATTATTATTGTATGTATATTTGGTGTTGCTGTCCTTCTCCCTGTTTGCGTGTGTGTGTGTATATGTAAATGTGTTTCGCCGGGCGCCTTCAGGCCTGGTGGGTGTGGCCCTGCTGACGGTCTGGCCACACCCGAAGCCACACACCTGCTGCTGATCAGGCCTTGTCGGGGGAGCTACTTAGGAGAGTCTTGGAGCTCCCAACGACGCGGGATCATTCCATTAGACTCCACGAGAGGTGTGGAGTGCCAGACAGCAGCCAGCATGGGGAGTGCTGAGACAGGGGAGCGGAGAGCACAAACACTGGGAGAAGACACGACACGGGAGTCTGGGGAAAGCACGGGGATTTATTGTTGTTTAGTTTCATACACTGTAAATAAACGCACTGTTTACACACAGAGCACTGCGCCTGGGTCCTCCTTCCCTACACCCCCACGGTCTGCTAGCCAGACGGTGACAACATGACATGTGAGGCAACAACAGATCGGTTAACAGTATAAAAATATTAGATGTTACACCTTCAAAAACACATATTCAATTTCTCTTCCTTTATTAATACAGCCACTTCTTTGTGGAGTTTATGTGAGGCAACCTTGAACTGGCATTGTTGGTTTGCACTGCATTAAACTTAAATGAAAACCAGCGGGTCTCATGATGATGCTGTTACCTCATCCAGTTATTAATGTATTTCTGGAAGCTCTTTAGTTGGAAAAAATCATGTGTCAGCATCAAATTAGGCTTTTTTTTTCTTTTTTTTTAAATTCTCAGTCATGAGTATATAAGCAGAACAAAGACATGTGACACAAATTTTCGAGGGAACCCTTGGAGCCCAGTGATGTGGTCACCCACTCTTGTCCTTTATTACAATGACTCATTTTTTAATGAGGAATTAGTATTTGAAACATCACCATGTGCTTTTAAATGTATGAAGCCCACATGATAAATTACAACACACGTTAATTTTAGATGGTGCCAGCACGCACAAAAAGACCTGCTTTCAAGTAACTCCAGGTTATTCAGTAACGGAAAGTCGGCTTAAAGATTTCACACTACAGAAACAAAATGAGTGTATGTGTAACAGTTCTCATCAAACAAACTTACGAGCCTTTTTGTTAATGCAACCACTCGTTAAGACAAATATCTACCCAGCCAATCACATTACACCAACTCAGTTAGGCATGTAGACGTGGTCAAGACAACTTGCTGACGTTCAAACCGAGCATTAGAAACGGAAAGAACATCGATTTAAGCGACTCTGAACATGGCATGGTTGTTGGTCCCAGATAGGCTGGTCTGAGTGTTCCAGAAACTACTGATCTGCTGGGATTTTCCTGCAAAACCAATCAGATAGGAAGGCAACAAATAACAATTTATTACAACCTGAGGTATGCAGAAGGACATCTCTGAACGCATAACATGTTCAACCTTGAAACAGATGGTCTACAGCAATAGAAGTCCACACCCAGTGCCTGTAAAAACAGGACACTGAGGATATAAATTGCTTAGAGCCGCCAAAATTGAACAATAGAAGATTGGAAAAATGTTCCCTTGTTTGATGATTCATTTCTTCTGCAACATTCAGACAGTAGGGTGATACTTGGCACAGACAATATGAAAGCATGCAACCATTCTGCCTTAGATCAACATTTCTGGTCGTTGTTGGTGTAACAGAGGTATCTTTTTGGCATACTATGTTTTGGCAAATGACGAGTTCACTGCACTCAAATTGGCTTAACTTATCAGCAGATTTCAATCCCGTAGAGCAGCTCTGGGATGTGGTGAAACGGGAGATTCATCACATAGATTTGTAGCTGAAAAATCTGCAGCCATCAGGCCGGTATGGACCAAAATCTTTGGGGAATGTTTCCAGCGTAAGGGGTCCAACTCAGTGCTGACGAGATATACGTAATAAAGTGTCTCATGAGTGTATGTACAAAAAGCAGATGACACTGGTGAATGTTTGTATAGAATATGATAAATGTTTAAATGTGTAGTAGAGGTTCTAGCTTTCCTCACACCAAGAGCCTTTCATAATTTGTGAGTTTACTAATGTGAGTTGTAATCAAAATGTTCAAGATATCCTCCTTTCAAATTCAGCAACATCAAGATTTTCAGTGTTTCTAAAGTTAGTCTGAGGAAAAACTGCTGTATTACATTTATGTGATTGTACATTTTAGATGAATCAGTGATATTCTGAAGATTTTAATATTTAAACACAAATAAAACAAAAGAAAATCAAATAAAAAACGGCAATAATTGGTGCTACTTAACCGAAAACATATACAGTGCGTCTTGGATACATTTCAGTTTATGATAGCCGATAGCCAAACCTATAAACATCAACAGCCAAAATATTAGGGACATCTCTCGGTGTACTAACTGCTCAGCAGCGGCATAAAGCTGAACACTGCAAACACATTACTAACCAGTGTGATTTATTGCAAAATGTTTGCAAAATGCATGAAAGGCTATAAAACATTATTTATGGCAGTTTAAACAATTTACAGAACTAAAGATTCTTTAGAAAGTACACCGACTCCGTTAAAAAGAAAAATTACGTTGCTCCCTCTGATGTCATCTGGCAGTTTTTGTGCATTTCACCACCTGACTTCCTTCTTCATGCTCTGCATTCAAGCAGGCAGCATCGGCTTATTGACATATATTAGTCTAAGAGAGCTTCTGCAACAAACCTGATACTGTATTTTGCCCCAAAAAATCCTATTTGTTACACAGGTTTGAAAAGAACTCTTATTGTGTTTAATCTTCAATATTGATTGGCGACAGGTCCGGCAGCACAGCAGATTTTCTCTGTGGCTTTTTTGCTGCAGAGTCCTCGTCTAAATCTTTATCTTCCTCCTCTTCACAGTCATCAAAGTCATCTTCATCATCATCATAATCATCATCACTGTCCAAACCATCCATGTCTGGCTTCCTTCGTCGACATCCTTTCTTTCTCTGTTCATCAACTTCTTGCTCGTTTTGCTCCAGATGTGAGTTCACCCTACACGGTGAAGAAAAAAGATATAAGAACTGTTGTTTAACTTTACACCAACAATCCAAATCTTCCAGTATTGCGTTGTCACAAAGTCAGTAACTCAAAAAGCTACAGGAAATTACCTTTCCTTAATTAACACTTAGTGGAAGCATTTAGATGCCAAAAGCAATGCTTAAAAATATGAGAAGCCCATGAAATGATGTTCAGGGTCAAGTATTGGCTACAATGTATCTTATTCTCCACAAGGTGGCAGACTTACAGTAGTTACAGTATTATGTGTATGTGCTTGTCAGTGATAAAAGATGAAAATACATTTGCTTAAATCACTTCGGTGTTATCCCGTCTCTTTAGGAATCTAACACATGTAGAAACTCCTGTAATTCATGTTCATTTTAAAAACTTGTTGCCAGTGTGAAAGGAAAAAAAATTAACTGGTGTCATCAAATTTGATTTTCTCAGAACATTGAAAATTGAAAGCTCTTCTTTGGATGTCAGCTGCCTTTTCTCTGACAAGATGATCCCACACAGCTTGATTGATGATTTGAACCAAAAACTTTGGTTTCATCACTCCATCAGACCCGTTGCCACTGATTTTCAGTCCAGTTTTTGTGTAATGTGGCGTACCTCAGCCTTTCCTTATTCCTTAAGAATGGCTTTTTGACAACCACCCTTCCACTGAGAGCATTTGTAATGACGCTTCAGTGAACACATTTCTTAAGAACATCATTTTTAGATACTGTTCATCTGCTGTAGATATTTTTTTGTTTTTAGGCCTGGCACTTCTTCTTTTGTTTAATTTCGTCAAATTTCTTAAAGACATACTGCACACCATATGCAAGATTTCTTGGGTTTTTTTCTTTTGGCTGTCAGTTTTCTCTTTGGCACTTTCAAAGCTTCAGCTAAGGAAATGGGAACAAAACGCCTAAACATACAATTTGTTGTTTGTTGAATATCTGTTAAATGGAGATGTGACACTGGTTTATTCCTTTGAGTTAGCAGTGTTTTATTGTTTTGTTTTTTTTTGGGGGGTATTAAGTGGCTTAACAAAGAAAAAATCCTAAAAAAAATGCTCAGGTACAAGGACTGGACTGGAAATGAGTGGACAAAGCAGCCAATGTTCAAAGAAAAACTATGAAAGACTTTCTGAAAGCCTGAGGAACTATTGCTCAAGACCTTTTTTAAACAGCTTTTGAGCGGAGGACAAAGCTCTGGCACCTTGGAAGCAAAATATGAAGAAATGATGGCTGAGTTCGTACTTTGTACATTAATGTATATAAGGACAAAACACACGCAAACTTATCCTCTTACGGAATAACAATCTCCTCCTTCTTCCCACACTTGCAGCAGATCTCTTGCTGAAGAGAGCAGGGCTTACAAATGATGTGATACGCATCTTTTATTGTCTTTTGGGAGCACTTGACACTGCAAAAAAACCAAAAAAAACAATCAGTTATTAAGGCCAATGTATTTAACTTGCCACTTAAAACAATATATCCATGTGTTGGGAAAATTCTTCTAAGCAGTGGAGATAAAATATTTAGTGGCTAATTTTCAAAGTCTGCCACTATGAAAAAATGAGATGGCTAAAATCATGCACGATATGAAATAAGCAAAGAATGTTTGTGGTGTAGTTTCATTTTTTGCACAGGTAAAAAAAAGAAGCTGATAAACTGAAATAAACTCTTCAATTCACCGACTGCTTTGTTGTTACTTGATGTGCATTTTCATGAGCAGCTGTAAGAATTTGCCCCTAGCCCTGCGTACTGAAATCAAAGTCTGCAATACTTATGTATACTTACCATTTTCTAGGCTGTGTTAGTGGCTTGTATTTGTTGTACTTAACTTTCCACTCAAGAACACCTTTACAGCGTTGACAAAGCCCATCATGGATCTTTGAATTTGCCTTCTACAATTGAGATTAGAGAAGCAAAGACAATAGAGATGTTCCAATATTATGTGTGTTTAACAAAGCAAGAGCTATAAACAAGTTTTCACAGGAAATGATTTATCACTGGCAGAAATGACAGGAAGAAAAAAGTACAAACTCCCTACAGTCTCAGCCTTTCTCAAATAAATGAATATTGTGAATAAGTTTAACTTTCCTTAATTAACACTTATTGGAAGCATTAATTAAGCAATAAGACCACTCTGTCTCAAATCACCATTCTGTTTGAAGATTTACCTACAAATTTTGTGGTGCATAGTTAGCTTATAGAATCGTTTCTGTACAATTATAGCTTCACACACATACACAACTTTATTTTTTTTGCACTATGGTAAAATGACGTGACACACGAGTATCTCAAAAACTATTAAAGATAAAAGTCAGAAACTTTCACTAGCCTTTCTTACTTTCTTACCATGTATCAGAATGTATTGACTAGTTATAACATAGAAAAACTAAGAATAATAAAATAAAATAATAAATTCAAGACTCATTCAAATACGCTAATAAAAACTTCACATTGAAGTCTTCAGACTATTCAGGTAATTTCTGAACATTTATTAGATATAATTGTGTTTCACAATAATGCAAAATTAAACACACAGAATACTTTTCAAAATTAAATTCATGGTAGGACACCTCAAGTTTTCAAATATCTTGAAAAGTATTTGATACACGAGGAAAAAAAAATTCAGAGCACACACACGTCCAAACTTTGGACCATAAAACCTTTAGCAAAATCTGAAATGGGCTAGCCGAAAATATTCTGAAGATTGATAAAATGGCCCAAATGCAAAATGCAATACAAGGCTAAATAACTTAGCTCAGCAAAGCTGACACACCTTCACTTGTGTAGTCGCCCCGTACTTGTCGTTTTTAAACGCAGTTGTGTTTTGATGCTTCTGGCCCCGCGATCGAGATGTATTGCCTCTCTGAGAACTCATGTTATTAAACCTTTTTAGCCACACACGTTACACAGATACACAAACTAAGCACCATGCCGCCGAGCGAGAGCACTAACCCGGAAGAAGTAAGAACGCGTCATGAAACGTCATTGACAATTACGTAAAAAAGGAAAGAAAAATGTGTTATTTTAATAAACAGTATATTTCATGTATGTATTTATTTTTTTAAAGTCAGAATTTCTTTTTACATTTACAAACACACTTAATAAATTATAGCTTGTCAATGACATCACCGACTAGAACTAGAAACACCTTTTTGGACGCTGATTGGACGATGCCTTCCAATAGTAATTTCTGATTGGTTGTCAATCCTAAAAAACTTAAATCCTCAGACTGCGGCGTCTAGAAGGACCGCCCATAAACATCAAAGTCATTGGGGGAGTCGTTTTGTCGACCTCTTTTCCCATTGGTCCACAGAGCTGTCAATGAACGCCTCTTTTTCCTCAAGCCAAGATAACAAGCAGGGCCGGGCGATATTCACAACGAAAGCAGTGATGTTTCGGTGGCAGGTGATACTGCTGTGAATTGTTTGGTAAGCTGCACGGACACGTCTCCTAGATTTGAGTGCATTTTAAACTGTTATCTTTCCTATCAGCTTCACTGCTGTGCTTTAGAAACTTGAACGTTTCGAATGAGTCGATGTCGTTATCGTCCAGGACCGTATGTTGAGAAAACCGAAAGGAGGGAAAATAAAGGAAACGACAGTTCAGAAGACTGTGTGGTCCGGAGAACGAAGCTGCCAGCTAATACTAATTAAAGAAGGATAATACACACTCAAACTGACATCGCTAACCGAGGATAATCTGGCCAAGGATAACCTCGACAAGCTCTAGGTGTCGAGAAGATAAGTTAGTTGGCTTGGTGCGAAGATATCTCAAGACTGCGGTGACGTCTACCCAGTACTATCACCTTTAAACACAGAAAGAAAACCAAAACAAACCCCCAGCCGCCGTCCAGGTAAGCTTTCTTTGGAATATATGTACACTTGGTACACCATACTTTGCAGCTAATTGTAGCTGCTAGAAACGAAACCCTCACAAATAGCCTGGTGTAACTGTAATCTCTGTGAACACATTGCTACATCCACCACCATTTTACAGTAAATCGCCGCGGGGCTCCGTTTAGCCTCTGCTTGGAATGGACTTTGTGGTAAGAATGTCGGAAGCAAATAGGCTCCATTGTCGTCCCCATCCTCAGTCATCCCTGACACAGCCGTTTATTTACCCACGTATCATACAGACCGTTCAGCTGAGTTAAAAATCAGCAGCGTGTGAGTAAGATTAATCAAGTAATTTCCAGCAGCTGTTTAGCGTCGTTTCTTTAGACTGATCTAAGCAAATCGGTTGCAAGATTTATGAATATATCAGACAGAAATGTCCATCTATGAAGCTGCTAAGTGCTGTGGCTGGTCAGAGGAGCTATCGCCAAAGGAAAGAGGAAAGGTAATCCATATAACACATTGTCATAATCTGATATTAGTGAGCATTTTTTCCCCTGCTTGGTTAAAGAGTCATATTACAAAGCAGCATGACTGGCTAAGATAAATTGGAGATTTGCCTCCAGCTGCCATATGTTTTACCAAAAAGGAGCTGTGCTGACATCACTGCTGCAGTTTCATAGTAGCTAGAATATCTTAAGAGGTAACCTAAGGTAGGGGTCCAGGTGCAGGGAGAGACAAAAAAGCCTTTCAAGTTAATTCTCTGAGTGACTGTGAAGCCTCAGGATAGACATGGAGAGAAAAATCACTCGGCTAGGGTCATCTCCCTTTAAAATCCTGTCTCGAGAGAGCTCTGCATTTTAGAGAGAGAGAGATTGTTTAGTGTAATAATAAAAAATAAAATTTTAAAAATGACAGCAGCCTGGCTCAAGCCCCTCGTCCAAGAAATCCCCTGCTTTGCTTAACAGATATAGTTGTATATGTAGAAAAACCTAATTTCGAAACTCTGGCAGAGATTTGCTTTTGTAGCATCTTTCTTGTGGGATGCATTGGCATATCGGTGTGTTTTCTTCCTCACTATGGGATATTTCTATTTTAATCCTTTTGGTTCTCTCTGTTGCAGTACTTTGAGGATGAACCACTTATCGCTCAGTGAGCTATGTTGCCTGTTCTGCTGTCCACCGTGCCCCAGCAAGATCGCCTCAAAGCTGGCCTTTCTACCCCCTGAGCCGACCTACAGCCTCATGTGTGATGACAGTGGCAGCCGATGGACGCTGCACCTCTCCGAGCGTGCTGACTGGCAGTACTCGGCCCGTGAGAAGGAGGCCATCGAGTGTTTCATGACACGCACCTCAAGAGGGAGCCGCATTGCCTGCATGTTTGTCCGCTGCTCACCCAGCGCCCGGTATACTCTGTTGTTCTCCCACGGTAATGCAGTGGACTTGGGCCAGATGAGCAGCTTCTACATTGGCCTCGGTTCACGGATCAACTGCAACGTTTTTTCCTACGACTACTCTGGTTATGGGGCCAGCTCTGGGAAGCCTTCGGAGAAGAACCTGTACGCTGATGTAGATGCTGCCTGGCAGGCGCTCCGATCACGGTAATGAAGCGTTATAATGGATGGATAAGTAATATAAAATGACGTGATATTAAAACAACTGAGCAGTATGCAGAATCCTGTAAGACTTATTTGTGAATGCACAAGACTCCTGCAGTCACTCAAAACCTGTTTATTAGGATGTGATAGCATGGAGAAATGAACCTAAATGGCCGTTTAGATGACTCAAGACAAGGAGTTAAACCCGATGAAAAGTAAAGTTCCCACAGTACTTGAAATGATTGTGGGGTTTGGTTTTTTTTTTTTTTTTTTTTTTTTTTTTTAAATTAGAGTATCTGAAGGGGAAAGTGAAGTGACATAACACAAAAAAAACTGTAAGGAACATGGTTATAAAAAAAAAAAAATCCCCTACTGTGTGTGGTGGTAATATTTAAAGCATTATTAGTCATATTAATAGCAGGTCCCTGTTTTATGTCTTGGTTGGCAGCTTTGTATTGCTAACAGGAATATTATGAATAACAACAGTGTCAACCTGTGTTTCTGGCATGCTGTAGAAATATGGGGGCATTTTAGAAAGTGTTAAATGATGAGGATTAGTGAAGGAAATGATGATTTAGATGGAAAAGGGCAAAAATGAGAAGATGTGAACTTCTGAAGGTGCTGGGGGGCGGAGGGATGACTACTTAACAGAACTTCACAAAATCATGAGGGAAGATGATGAGGAATGGCTTAGTGGGGATGACATGATGTTCTTGTAGGCGAAGAAACGTGGGTTCTGTGATTACGCTGCGCCCCCTCCTCCATTAATATGTAGGTGTGAGCGGTTGCTCTGCTACATGTTTGTACAGGTGACTAATTATTGGCTGATTGGAAACTGGTATTTATGTTTTCCCAGTTGATGATAACCTACTTGTTCAGGACTTTCTGTTATCTTATTGTGGTTTCAAAGTGCACACAACCCAGCAGGAATTCAGTTTGCAGTTGAAGTCTTGTTCTATTACACTTTGATTCTTTAAAAATAACTATCGAACTTCTTAGTAATTGGTGTATGAAAGACTATGTATAAAGAACTCGTTCTCTGCATCACTTGTTATCTGGTCCTCATGCTCATGAATAGTTTGTTACTGCAGGTGTGAACTCTTGTTCAGCTTCAGTTCCTTCCCCCAGATAAGGTCGTCTTACATGTAAGCAGTGCTTATCAGTTTGTCTAACGCTGTGGTCTTCACTTCCTTCCATTTGTGTTTAAGGACGTCTGCTTATTGTCTCCGACCATCTCGTCATCTCCTTCTTTTGTCCTTTGTGTCACCACATTGTGCTTAAAGTCTGTAGGTTTGCCAGTAGAGTGCCTGTACTGAAAACCCACAAACAAAACATAAGTAGAACTGAAACATAAACAGAATTCATCAGTCGCTTTTCAGATTATTGAATCAAAGCCCAAAATACTTGTTAGTTCCTGCTCCTAAGATATTTTGGGGGAAGTGGATGAAGGTAGATCTTTGATCTGGGGAATCTGTGGTAGACCTATTTCACTGTGTTCCTGATATTTTACACAACACAATTTTACACTGGAACGTATTGGGGGGGGGGGGGGGGGGAATGAATTAAAAATGAAAATAATTTTTAGTTGAAGCTCTACCTATACATGCAGGGTAGAAGCAAGAAAGCAAACATCAACCTGCTGCAATGAAACGGGATGTGGAGGGTGTGTGTGAGTACTATGTCCATTATATCTGACTTCTTGTTTTGGGAGAAGGGAAAGATAAAATTTCATCCAGTAAGACTGCTTGCCTGTATGTTTCCTGCTGGAAGACAAATTACTAAGAGAGCAGATGGGGAGACTTCAGAAGTGCTAAAAATGCTGGAAGAGAGGAGACAAAATGATCAAGATCAGCCTTTGGGGGGGGGGGAAGCTGTTCTTTAAGTGTGGAGTGTTCCTCCTGTGTTATTGCTAGTGTGGGAGTATGTTCTTTCTGTACTAAATGAAGGTTTTGGCACTGCAGAGCTTTAAAGTGCTGATAACACTGCTAAGAGCCACTGACAACAAAATCTTACAGTTTATTAGCTGCTGACTTTTGATGTGAACCTCCCCAAGCACTTTCACAGAATCTAATGAATGGGCTTCTGTAAATAAGGCCCTCTTATATAAGGAAGCTACAGAGTTTAACTAGAAAATTGACGGTAAGGCTTTTGCATTTAAGAAGCAAGCCACTGCTGTAAAGATGAAAAAGAACCTGCTTTTCCGGTGGTTAAAAGTCACATGTCTGTAGGTATAGGCTTGATTGTTTTCTTTTCTCATCACCCGTTTGAAACCACACTCCTGGAATTACCTGATTGCTTGTCCCTGCTTTTTTTTTTCTTTCCTTTTTTCTTTTAAACATCACTAACGACTTCTCAAAGTCAAAATAATCAATCTAGTTTACACTGGTAAAACTGCTTGGACTTTAGCTATAATATGCAAAGGCAACATGTTGTCATTAGCTGATTGACTTGGTGCTTAAAAGCTAACACTACTCACTCAGCTCCATATTTAACACCTTCAGGCCACTTTAACTTTTTTACACTGCTTGCTACCATCAGGTACGATCACTGAAGCAGGGCATCAAATACAGGTTCTCATGGTTTTGTAGGTTTATTTGGAAGAAATGTCTTTGAGATAAGATGAGCCTTTTAGGAACAAGAATTTGTTTTTTCTTTTCCTGAAGGCCTAACCTTGGGGCTTGACTGCATATCTCGTGCTTTGTAGTCACATGGTTAGCAGTCCCACAGCAGAATTAAACTACGTGACCCATGGGTTTTGCAACAAAGACGAGTTGAACGAGGGTAGATGACTTTTTTTTTTTGTTTTGTTTTGTTTTTTCAGTCCTGTGCTTCATATCAGTGTTTTATTACAGATGCACACATTTGTAATCTGTCCGTCCTAGTAATGGGCAGGTGCTGAGTGTCTGAGAAAGCTTTCTGTACCCGAATGGTCAGCATTTAAGAAAAGGTCATGAGACATCAAGGTATTTTAGAGCTTTAGAATTTAGCTTTTCAATGTGATTTTTAGAAAATCCACTCTCTGCGTACAAGGCAAAACAGATGCAGGACATTAAGTTGTAATGTTTTTTTTTTCTCTTCAGTCTAAAGGCGTGTGTGTGTGTGTGTGTGTGTGTGTGTGTCTACTTTCAACTGCTTCCTTGTCACATGGGTTCACTGGAGCAGGTAGCATTTAATCTGTATCTTGATAATAACATCAGATGTACCTAGTGTCAAAGTGCATTACCTCAATCTCTGATCTCAGTTCTCATTAGTTGGGCAAAGTTGGCTGACTTGTCGACATGGTGTGTCCCACGTCACATGAAGCAACGCTTCTGATTAAGCTTTCATTCTTTCCATTGTTACTCTAACATCACTGCACCTACATGTAGGTCTCAAATTTTCTTGGTTAGCAGGAAGAGTTGGATGACGTTTCACCTTGTGGTAATAGGAATGTGGTCATGCCAGGGTTTTTCCTTGCTTTGCACATGCCTTTGGGGGGTGACCATGCGCTAAAGCACACTTCTCCTGCGTACATTAAAAGTAACCTATTATTACACAGAAATCAATGTTTTGTTTTGTTTTATTTTAAGAGGGTTGGTTGGGTTTTTTTTTTTGTTTTTTTTTTTTAAACAAATGTCTTATTTTTGCTTGAGTAAATGAAACCCAGATGTTTAAAAAAAAAAAAAAAAAAAAAAAAAAAGAAACTCAAACATTGTGATGAAATGCTAATGATTTGATTTTATTAATTTTTTTCCCCAGCTGGTTACAACCCCACTCGTGACTGAAATCAGATTTAGAGCAAACCTGACCACTTACTATGCTGTCTAGCTGATTGCATCACATTCTGTGTTCACAAATCAGTCTTAAAATTGACAACATTACACACACAAGGCTTTTTTTTTTTTTTTTTTTTTTTTTTTTTTTTTTGCTAAAGCAAATGATGTGCGTCCATTTGAAATTTGTGGTTCCCTTGGTCCCTGGATCTCTTGGTTTATAGGCTTGACTGTGTCATTCTCTCCTTAGCTCTGCTCATTTTCCTGTTACGTTTTATATACACATTATGTAAATATTCCCACTATCAGAAATCTAACATCAACACTCTTCCTTTGTTCTGGATGGTAGTATTTGGCTAATGTCAACAAAACCCTTTTGCTATCTTGTACCATATCAGTTCAGGACTCAGTTCTGCTTTTAGGCCAGTGCTGCAGTACATCAGATTCAATTCTAAGTAACTCGACTTCATATTAATGCTGCGTTGGGCTTTTTTTTTTTTTTTTTTTTTTTTTTCCACAGAAAGATAAAATGACTGACTTTTATGATTTTATTTTTTAATCAACACTTAGGACTACTTGCTTGGTTATCACCGAATTATATTTTGGTAGTTTAACACTCCCTACAGACTTAATTTTGTTCCCAAAATTAAGTCTGTAGGGAGTCTTTTACAGTTTTATCAATATCTTAGTCTTTGCATGCAGAATCTTCAGATTGGTTTAAATAAGGTTTCTAGTATATTGGTCTTTCTCTCAGCTGTCTCTGCCTGATCTTGAGGGCTGTGCCAGATTTATAATTGACTGACTATGTGATGGAGAGTACAATTCAGCCTTTTTACCTCGCTGAACATGAATCGACTAGATGGCATTATCACATCAAAAGGCCTCTCTGCATGGCTTCACATTAGTCTGTTGCCTACATACCTCGTGCTTGTATCTCATGTTAGATCAGGCTTCCAGCTTTTAAGAAGAAATGAGCTCTCAACTCTAGCGGTCTGCGTTTCTTTTCTGACTGAATTTTGAACACTGTAACCTGACACTTTCTCCTTTTTTTGTTTTTTCTGCATCCTTCAATGTGTGGTTTTTTTTTTTTTTTTTTTTTTTTTTTTTTTTTTTTCTTTCTCCCCACTGTATGATTCAGCAATGTGCAAATTCACCTCCTCTTGAGTATTCACTTACTCGTGTGGGTTGCTTTCACTTTACTGTAGTTGTATGACAGAGGCCAGCCACCTGTCATTTTGCTGACTGTGTAAGCACAACTACACAGCCTTTGCCACCAAAACACTCCCATGCCTCACTGGATACGGCACGCCTTTCACCTGAGCTGGGAGTGGGTGAGATAATGTGAGTCAGCAGGGTTCTACACGTACATCCTCCAGTATCACACTAGGAGTGTGCTTAATGGATGAATGAAAAAGATTCTTTTAGAAGCGATGAAACTATATGTTGTGAAATCAAGTGCCAGAAGAGGGTGAGTAGTTGATGAAGGCCTCTGGTCCAATTCCTTGCTGTATTTGTGTGTTTAACCATGAAGTGGCATTGTATTGTTTTCTTTTGCCTTGGAGGTGAAGGCATGCCAGCAGTCAATCCTACTAGTCTAATATTGAGTGGTAGCCTAGCAACCAATGCCTGAGCTTTCAGACTAAGGTGTTTCCACACTGTGGCCAATAAAAACAAACAGGAAACTCACTTCCTCATCAATAATCTTATTGATCCAGGTCGCAAGCACTATCCATCTTCTTGGAAATGAATGGAGGGGAGAAATTCCCAAACATCAGCATGCATCAAGACACGAGGAAGGCAGCTCAATGCTCTTTGTTTGCTTTTCTTACCTTTAAATACCACTAGTTGCCTGGAGACAAGCCGGCTTTATCTATGAAGTAATCTGGGTGGAGTTTGATTTCTCACCTGACTGTTCTCTTCAGCACAGAAACAAACTCTTCTTAATGTCCTCACATACTAATAGATTTAATTCACTTTCACTGACTTCAGTCCACATCACCCCTATGTACTTGTACACAAAGTGTAATAATGGATCATTGAGCATTTCAGTGAAGAATTCCCCTGCTGTAGTGCAGATGGTACTCTAATCTGTTTTTTTTTTTTGTTTTTTTTTAAATTGCTGTACATATGCGCAGGACTTCCTGAGCATATGTTTGTGATGGTGACGGCTGTGGAAGGAGGATATTTTTGGTCTTCAATGCGCAAGAGGTGGGTGGTCAAGAGGGAGTGAGACACACAATAGGGGAATGAGGGAGGATGTGATGCATAATGGAATGGATTTGTGTCAAGGGACTAAATTGAAGGTTTGAGGGATTGGTGCAACTCGGAACCATGGAGCAAGCCGAAAGGCAGTGGAGTGTGGTGTTGGCTGGGACTTAAGCAACTAAATAAAAAGACTAGGAAACAGTCAATGTGTAGTTATCATCTTAAAGGTTCCTTATCCCGGCCAGTGTTTAACATTGTTGCTTCACAGCAAGATGTTCCTGCTTCCTGGTTTGAGGGCTTTTTGTGCAGAGTTTGCATGTGCTCACCCTGTTTGCATGGGCCCTCCCGAGGTACACTGGCTTTCTTCCAAAGTCCAAAGAGGTATATGCTGGGATAACTGGTGATTATAAATGTTACCATTTGAGTAATTGTGAGCATGAATACTATCTCTGTCTGTTGGCTCTGCGGTAGGCTCTTCCAGGGTGTTCCCTGCTCTTTGGCCCATTGATAGCTGTTATAGCATCATTGCGTTCATAAGCCTGTATGCCGGTATTAGGATACATAGCAAGGGTAGCTTTCACATCTGTGAGTGCACCATTAATGCTGAACAGTGTACACAGATTTTTATATACATTTTGCTCTTTAAACCAAAGCAACTGTTCTCCTCAGTTCCCAGATGCCTATAGAGTTGTTCTAAGAGGAGGTGATACCACTACTACTACTACTACATTTTATATGTGGAAATGATTCTTGTTTGCCGTCTGATTTCTTTTTGTTGTCAGAGTTGTAGTGACTAATAATTTTTGAGTGGGCTTTGGCTGTAAGCAGGTACACAGTTGGTGTCAAGAGTAAAAGACAAATTGCATTTGCTGTAATTCAGTCTTGAAACCATGGCCATCCCATTTACAGACAGTGACTGAAGGATGGAACAAGAAGTCATGGCCCAGTTATTTGCTGGCTACATCAGAAGCCCAGATTAAATGGCCATTGCCCTTGGAGGTTTCTCAGCAGTCCAGCTGAATGATGGGTTTTCAGATTTTTCTAATTTTATTTATTTTTTACCTGCCTTACAGTTTCTTCCTTCCTCTTGTTTGTTTGTTTGTTTTATTTTTATTTGAAGCTAAAGTAACATGCCATAAATAACAGAAGTTGTTGCCAAAAATTCTCATAATCAGGTAATTAGGTTAATATTTAGCATTATATTAGCTTTTAGCTTCTGAGAAATGGCCTTTCTTCAGTAGGGCTACGGGAAGGGGGACGGCAGTTTGATTATAGTGAGTGTTTTGTTTTGTTTTTGTTTTGTTTTTTTTGTTTTTTTTTTTAATAATCCATTCGTCAAATTTGGGAATTTTCAAACTATGGTTCAGTTTCAGGCAAAGGCGCTGCCACATCAGAAAGGGCGCGATCATTCTTCTACAGTTTTGTACAAAGACTTGACATTTTGTTCTTGTCCTTACAATTCGTCTGTTACCTAAGGAGCTGTATTGTGTTGTATAACCAAGATAGGCTTTCATTCCTCGAATTGTGTACATTGCAGTCAGCTGAAAGTCAAGTTGCTTTTAATACTGTAGCATCAGCCTTTGCTAATGCTTTTCCCATGCAGTGCCAACCTTTTTACCCCTATTTATACTGGGTAAAGACCAGCTGATACCAATAAACAGTTCCTATATTGCTGCTCATGACTGTCCAAGCTAGACTTTGCTGCGCCTGTGTGTACATTTCCATATTTAATACATCACCCTGCACTTAAAGTCTGTTACCTTTAATAGCAGCAACACTACATTATTGCAGGTTGTTCTCTTGCAAAGGGTGTAAGTATGTTAATCCATCACAGCGTTTTAAAGCGCTGCTAGACTTTGGTGTTCGTGTAGTCATCAGTGTATTATAGGAGTGCTGCAGAGCTAAGGCTCTAATGTTAGTGTTCATTTGAAGTCCCTAATTTTAATACTTGAGTAGAGCTTTATTTGTCATGTTGTGACTTTACCGTGCAAAATCCAGCAGTGCAGCGGCAGAGACGGCAGCAATGCAGTGTTTTCAGACTAGTTTTCAGGTTGTCAGCAAGAGTGGGTCACGTTCTCTGTAATCAGCTGTGGAAGGCTGCCCCCCCCCCAACCTATATTTATTTCTCCCTCACCCTAAATACAGTATCTGTCCCTTTTGCTCTATTTCAGCTTCTTTTGCTCTCCCCCCCCCCCCTTCTGAATCACGAGACATTAGGGGTGGTCCTCTTTTTAAGCTGCCTTGAGAAGCAGCACAAAGACAGACTTACTCGGCTATAGCTTGATCACATCTTGGTGTGCTTGTTTTAAGAGTCACTGTAAGCACAGAGTCCCTGACATGATGTTTTTACTGATAAGTGTATGAGTAAGCCTCATTTGTTTTTTGTTTATTTTCTGATAAATAAATGTGGATCCTAAAATAAAGTATTTGCTCTTTGTGTTTTGCCAGCTAAGCTGCTTTGTGTAATTAACTGAAGGCCCAACTGGATGCTTGCAGTGTCTGGATGAGCACACAAAATTTATCTAGCTACTAGTAGTGTAAATATCCTATTCATGATAAGCAGAGGGTGATGTTCCTGTACTGTTTGTCCTCCTTGTAGGTATGGCATCCGTCCAGAGAATGTGATCGTGTATGGTCAGAGCATTGGCACCGTGCCCTCTGTAGACCTGGCTTCTCGCTATGAGACTGCTGCAGTCATCCTCCACTCCCCGCTCACCTCTGGCATGAGAGTGGCTTTCCCTGACACCAAGAAGACATACTGCTTTGATGCCTTCCCAAAGTGAGTGGACCGTACGGACAGATGGCATATGTGGTAGTCAGGCTAAATCTGCCACACAGTATACACTTAAAGGGCTGCGGCCTCACGTGCATTTAATAACGCAGCACTGTATGAATAAATGTGCCAAGGAAAGCACACAGCTTAGTTGAAAACTGGATTTATTTATAAGACAGCAATTCAGGAAGTAAGTTTTGTTTTTTGTTTTTTCTCTTTATGGGCCCCCCCCCCTTCCTTCCTCCCACCTCTCTTCCTAGTTAAGCACCCAGGAGAGTCCTTAAAAAAGCAGATGTTCAATAGCTCCCCCTGGTGTAAAATCAGGAAACTAGCTGTGCTCCTTTTTTTTTTATCTTTTATTTTCAGTTAATTATTGTTTTAATTCATTCATTTAGAGAATACTTTTAGTAGCAAGAACATTAACTAAGCCTCCGTTTCCCTTTTTTCTTTCTTGTGTGGGTTTTTTTTATTTTTTTATACTTCCCTATTTCTGACATGTTTCCTCTCTCTTTTTTTCTTTCTTGTTTCTTCTCTCCCTCCCCCCTCTCTCTCTCCAAAGCATCGACAAGATTTCCAAGGTAACATCACCAGTACTCGTGATCCACGGTACAGAAGACGAGGTCATTGATTTCTCCCACGGGCTGGCACTATATGAACGCTGTCAGCGCCCAGTGGAGCCGCTCTGGGTAGAAGGGGCCGGCCACAACGATGTGGAGCTCTATGGACAGTACCTGGAGAGACTGAAGCAGTTTGTTGCACATGAGCTAGTCAACTTGTAAAGGAGCTGGGGGAAAATGGCGGAGAGGGAAGAAGAGAACACCGCCCCAGATTTAAGGAGAAGCCGAATGATGAATGAGGGGTACAACATTTTATTCTAATTCAACTAGAAGTTGTGTGTTGTACCAACATTTTGATGGTTGACTGCCCATAAATCGGGCTTGCCCACACAGTCTGCTCCACACGCTGCAGCTGTGAAGTACTCATTCTTTTTTTTTTTTCTCCTTTTTTCTTTTTTAAATTTTCTTTCTATCATGTTGAAAATTGCACATTGTGAAATTCTGTGTGTGAATAAAAGGAGAAGCAGACGTGTGCACAGGCAACATACCATGTGTACTTGCCATGTATGACTGTGTATGTGCCACATTTTTGCTGCCTTTTGTGAAGGACATGGTCCACAGAGAAACTTTTGACAAGCTGTGCTGGACCAGACTCACTCAAATTCAACTGAACTCAGTCTGACTCTACAGACAGATGTGGTCTAACGCACTGCAGTCACCATGAATTCTTCTTTTTTTCTTTTGAGTACTGTTTCTTATATATTTCTTAACATTCTACTTAATATTGCACGTATCAGCTGTCACTGAAGAACTGTACAAGACAAACTGACATATTACCCTTCTGTGTCGGTGTTGCCAAATGTGTAGTATGATACATTGCAGAGATTTAGGAATACAAGGAAGTGTACTTTTACAAATCATGTCTAGAACCATCTCCAAAGCTTCGTTAGTTGTGTGAATCCTCCACTTCTGTTTAGTTTTAAAGTGGTACAGTCTACACAGATACAGCACAAGACAAGGCGCTGTCAGCAGCTTATTGTATGTAGCCGGTTTAAAGGCCGGGACTGTACGTTGTTAAACAAGGAAGTGTGAGTTATTTCCTCACACTGGAACAGTGCTTACATCAGAGTTTGACTTGAAGTATTGTTGGTATAAGATCAGTTTACTACACTGTAGTTGATGAAATTGATTCTTCTTGACAGAATTAAATGCAGGGCAAGTCTGTCGACAAAATGCCATCTACCTGTTTTGTTTTTTTGGATTTTACCCATTTGTCTGTGTAGTAGTTGTCACGAAGCTCTGTGTTGACAGTGTTTTATTTCCTGCCTTTGGATCTGAAGAGGTCAAGTTACATAATGTGCATAGCTACAAATCTCTGGTGTATCTGGATCACATCTTTCTGTCTTGTTTGGGTTTTTTTTGTTTTTTGGGGGGGGGGGTTTGTTTGCTTTTTTGCTGACAATACTGTAATTACTGTGACGGCAGAGGTAAACCACTAAAGCCAATCAGGAATGGTGAACTTTATGAAAACTGCTAGTTTTTCCAGCATTGTCTTAAAAAACAAAAAAGACAATGCTGTGTTTTCAGTCCTCCCATACATTTGAGCTGAACAATCCTCCCTGTGTGTGTTGGACAGTGGGTAATGTCAGTGTGAGTGGCTCAACATTGAAGGCCTGTCACGGACAGAAGGTTTTTCTTTTGGTTTGCATGAGATGTTCATTTGCTTTTTAATGCCGAGTGAGGCAAGATGAGCTCTTTTTCAGTGCCCAGACAAGCCAATGTCAACTTGCAGCTGCATGTCACCCATGGCTTCCTCCTGTTTTGTCTTTTGTTTTTGTTTGTTTTCCCCCAGTATCTGGGTTGCACTTGAGCCTGTGTTTAGAAAGATGGATCAGAATTTGTTAATAAATTAAATGAACCAATAAGCTAAAGGGTGCTACTGTAAACCTTCAGGTCTGATTAGTTACAGGTTGAGAAGAAGAAAATGACTCTAGATCAGAACCATCATTTCTCATGATGGTCTGTTATGAAAACAAGTCAATCATGCTTTTCTTTTTTTACTTTTAATTTGTTTACTGGACTTTTTTTTTTTTTTTTTTTTTTTTTTATATAAATATAAACCTGTTCTTTTTACAACCTTGTATTCGATTAACCTATTAACTGTATTTCTTGGTAGTTCTCAAACTATTGATATGATGGAGACTAGGCCAAAATTTTGGCTTTTCAAATGATCTTTGTACTGCTCATCTTGACAAAAGTCATGTCTGGTTTGATTTGATTTTGTAGGACAAATTTCAATACAAAAAGAAGCTGTATGTAGTAACATTAATAAAGTCATTCTAACATGGATAGAGGAAATAAATGGTATTTGACAAACAATCTAATTTGTGCTTGAAATTGTGTTCCTGGAGTGAAACCGTGATAAGGATTTTGAATGTTGCATCTGGTTTCTTTGCCCTGCCCTGCCCTGCCAAGAAGCATTTTAGGAGGTGATGTGCTAGCTTAATTTCAGTCAGGCCTACTAGCTTGGTGTCTGCTCAATCTCCAGAGCTGACTGGCACCTGGCATTTATCTGCATCTTTGTGCACCCCTCCCCAGCCTCACCCCTGCTTGTTACCCTGGTGGACTCCTGATTGCTGCTGCATCAAGCTTGGCCTGCATCTCTCCTCGATGTCTTGACACGGTCTGTCTTGTCGCCCTCCCTCCTCCATAGTAAGCTCTGACTGATGGCTTTCCAGTTAGCCTCACGATTGAGTCTGCCTCTGGCCTCCAGAGGGGTTTGGTAACCATCTCCTATCCATCTTATTGGGAGTGTTGCCTTTGCCTGTCTCTCTGGGGTCATCCACCTGCGTGGTTTTGGACATCTGGTATGTCTGTATGTTCAGCAGACCTTCTAAGAAACCCTACCGGTTACTAGGTCTATCACTGTCTGCCTTTCTTAGCTCTTGATGATTTATGTATATATTTATTTGGATTGACTTTGGATTTCCAGTTGTGTAATTCTGTGTTTTCTGTTGTGGGTGGAAATCTACGCCCCCACCCCTGGTTCCAGTTCATACATGTCTTTTCCCAATCAATTTTTTTTTTTTTTTTTTTTTTTCCTTGTTATTTATTATACAGGGTGAGGAGTTTGCCCCCTCACATATTTGAAATTGCTACATGATGATGTGTTTCCCTCTTTATGCACTGAAGCTGGCACGTTCCCTGAGTTTTTCCAGCAAGATGGTGCACCACCATTGGGTGCCAGGTCCGAGCATTCCTAGATGAACAGTTTCCTGGAAAGTGGATTGGTCGTCGTGGGCCAGTTGAATGGCCCCCAAGGTCTCCTGATCTGACCCCTTAGACTTTTATCTTTGGGGTCATCTGAAGGCAATTGTCTATGGTGTGAGATACGAGATGTGCAGCACCTGAAACTACGGATACTGGATGCCTGTTGGCATGTCCCTGAGTGTTGCTATCAGTGTGTGAAGAGTGGGAGAAGAGGGTTGCATTGACAATCCAACACAATGGGCAGCACATTGAACACATTTTATAAGTGGTCAGAAACTTGTAAATAACTCATGAAAGAATAAAGTTACGTTGAAACCAAGCACACCATTGTTTTTCTTGTGACATTACCAATAAGTTTGATGTGTCACATGGCCCTCTTCCTATTGAAAAAACAAAAGTTGTATCCAAGATGGCCGACTTCTAAATGGCCACCATGGTCACCACCCATCTTGAGGAGTTTGCCCCCTCACATATACTAATGTGCCACAAACAGGACTTTAATATCACCAACCATTCCCATGTTATTATGGTGTATCCATATAAATGGCCTGTATTTCTTGCCCTTTCTCAGGTTTCCTGAGGTGTTGACATATTTGGTATCTGCACCTTCTGATTTTAAGGTCCCCCTGATAGGCTTCAGGCACTCTTTGGAGTTTGATGTCATCCCTGACATATTCCTGACCACTCTAGTGAAGTGCCAAAAGGGAAAGAGAGAAAGTCTTTAAAATACTTCCATATACATTAATAACTTGAAACTACACTGGAATGAAGAACAATCTTCACCACAGGTAAAATTAAAAGGACAAGAAAGGAGGGTGTGTGTGTGTGTTACAAATACCAGGTTTACGTCATATACACGTGTGTGTATATATGTGTGTGTATATGTATATGTATGTATGTGTATATGTATATGTATGTATATGTATATGGATATCAGAATCAGAAAGGGTTTATTGCCAGATGTTGAGCAGGTTTACAACATTAGGAAATTGCTGCGGTGCTTCAGTGCAAACATACTGTCATAAAAATATAAAAATAAGAATAAGAATTAAAAGTGCTAAGTGGATAGATATATACATGATATATACATGAGTGCAGGTGGTGATCAGTGCCAAACATGGAATGATGCAGTGAACACAGCGTAGGGTCATGTGTTAGTGGTGGGAACAGTCATATGGTTATTGTTCATGTGTCCAACAGCAGAGGGGAAGAAACTGTTCTTATGGCGAGAGGTTCTGGTGCGAATGGACCGGAGCCTCCTGCCTGAGGGGAGCAGGTCAAACAGATATGTCAGATATATATATATATATATATGTATATGTATATATATATGTATATGTATATATATATGTATATATATATGTATATGTTTATATATGATATAAAGTGGTATATATATATATATATATAGTATATATATATGATGTATATATATGTTATAAGTATATATATATATTATAGTATATTATGATATTATATATATATGTATGTATATATATGTGATATGTATATATATTAGTGTATATGTATAATATGTATTATATTATATTTTATAATAATAATATTAAAATTAGCCTATGTATATATATGTGTATAGTATTATATGTGTTATATATAAGTATATGTGTGTATATGTGTGTGTATTATGTTTATGTATATTATGATGCTGTATGTATGTATATGTATATATATATATATATATACGTATGTATATATATGTATATATGTGTGTGTGTGTATATGTGTGTGTATATGTATATATGTATATGTATATCACACTGTATGTATTTCATGGTTTATTTTTTTTTTCCAAATTTATTTTTTAAATGTTTAAATCTATTGGAGATTGCTTTGTTCTCTATGGTGTGTTTGTTCCCCAGATCAAAGTGGAGAGATAATATTTCACTGAGAGCTTGACTAAGAGAAAACACACAAGCTTGATAGTGCTGTTAGTTAGATTTGCAGATAAGAGATGTTAAAGGATATAATTTGAGGGAAGTCTGGAAGTGAAAATATCATGGCCAAAGATATAGGAATCATCATATTTTGTCCGACTTTTATGTTTTTTATAAACTGGTTATTACATCGGAATTTCCAATTTATGAACGCCGAAATATTAAACCTCTACATTTTGTTCTTTGTTTTCCTCCTGTCTGCCAAGCATGGAGATTGGGCAAAAAAAGTATATCTCCATCCTCACCAGAGGGTGGCGTTGTGTCCGAGGTTTTAAAGCCCCTCCTCTGAATACACCTTCTGGTGTACCCTTCAGTGACTCCTCGGAGAGACAATAATTTTCACGTGTAAATTCGTGTTGCAAAATCCAGTCGAAAATTTGGTATTTCGATGCGGCCATAATATGCAGCGACTGCTGTTTAACGGGCCTTGGAAAGTGAACCTATGTTCTTCCTTCATAAAAAAATAATAACAGCTGAGTTGCAACGTTATTTCCACTATCCACGGTTTCTTATTTCAGCCCAGGGAGGCCGTTCTCTTGGGTATTATTGTTACAATCTTTTCGACAGCCTTTGAACGCATCGCGTCTTCCTCGGTTGAAAGCCGCGCCTGCTTCGCTCTCTGTGGGACCGGAGGCTGATCGCGGGGAGAAAGACAGCCTATCAGCAGAAAAAGAACCACCATGTGAACAAAGGGTATATAAGAAGGGACACCAAGGTGCAGAGTTGTCAGGGTGAGAACTTATCTGATTGTCTCACCACCGCTAGGGCAACGTTTTCAGGGCTCGGAAGAGAGCGAATGGACAGAGCCGGGAGAGGATAGGACAGTCCCTCCAACGGTAAGACCCCACCGTCCGCCTGGCCAGCCGCTTTTACATTGTGCCTGTGTCCGTCCGTCAACCATTAGGGGGGAAAGAGGAGAATTTAACCTTGTGAACCTCTGAGGCAACGCTTGCTTTCTAGAAAAGGGGCACTAGGCTTATTATAGGTGAACGACAAAAGTCATAATTGACTCTTAAGCTATTGTTTAAAAGTTTCTCAAAGCGTGCTGCTACGTGTCCCATTCACCAGCTACTATAACGGCGAAACAGAAGAAAAGTTGTAAATAATGAATACTTTCCCAGCTTTTCTCACTTCTTTATTTCATGCTTCTTATTCTCGGGTTCCTCTTTTGCTGTGGAAACTCGGTAACACGCCATTTGGAAGTGGACGTTTAAAAGAAGGTGGCCAAAATTAAAGTCCAGAAATAGTGAAATCCTTCATTGAACACATCCTCATTAACCTCAGTGTTACACAGCGAGGTCCGCACACAGAACAAGTGTGGACGCGTGGTTGTGAGCGCTGTTGTTACTCCCTCTGTACAGTTGTAAGTGAACACATGGCGTCAGTGTTAGTAACCCTACAGTAAAGGGTGATTTTACAGCCGAGGAATGCGTGATGGTGTGGCCCAAATGCTTCCTCGCACATCTGTTTGATATTCGGTAGCTGCAGACTCCGGCTGATATGAGAACGAGTCAGTAGTGAAGACATGAGGTCTGCAGGCTTGTGATCGGATTAACTTCCAGGAACAGAATAAGTCTGGAATTTGGAGTAAAAACATAGCCAGAGATCTGCTTCTGAAGACTCATTCCCCATCTTATGTTTAGGTGGGGAATGGTATTGTAATGGGATACTTCAAGTTGAAGTGGGCGAACCACCTGCTGTTCTGCCCAGTTTATTTTAAAGCTTAGATGAATGACTGAGCTTTTGTCTGAACAGTCCTTGATTGTTCCTACATGTCTTTGTTTATGTGTAGAAGAGGTTTATTGTTGCTCTCTGGTCTAAAATGATGACAAGATGGCCTGTCAAGACAGTGGTCATTTTGTGTGTTTGTGGCTTGGCACTGGTGTGAAGCACTGATAGATTTAAAACACTAAAATCATCATTTTTGGGGTGTATTTGATTTGGCTCAATATGAAAGATACCCATCACAATCACTAATTTCTCTAAGAAAATGTGCACTTGTTGACATTATTGTTTAAAAAAAAATCTAGAAAGGGCAAGCAGCGATGTTATTACAGTGAGCACTTCTGTTTACAAAAAGTGGTATAGAAGCCTTTTTTCTGCACACTCATGTCCTCTACCCCT